CCTATCAAAAGGGAAGAATCGAGTCAAATGGAATTGCGTGAAGCTGACTAGAGCCAGGACCTACAATCGCACCCACTCCTGTAGCAAGCGCTGGTGCAGGCCCAGCTCGCTCGCGCGCTGTGCCTCAGTGTCTGGCTTTGTGCCATTCCCCTCTCACTGCCCGTCTCTCTGTCCTCACATCTGCCTTCTCATCCTGCCCTGTCTCTCGCCGTGTCCCTGTCCATTCTGTCCTCTCTGTAACTCCTGCCCCTTGCCCAGCAGAGGCGCCACACGGCCCCACTTCCCCTGTCTTGCCGGTGCGTCCTTTGTCTTCATGGCCAGTCCGGGCCGCTCTCCCTCTCTCCCTCCATTTATGAGCCTGTGTGTTAGAGGACAGGGCAGTGGGCTGGAGGCCACTCACTAGTGACCTGTCTCTGCGATCACCTCATTATTTATCACCAGGGACGCCAGTGCTTCCATAAATTACCCCAACCCGGAGCCGCCTGCGCCGGAATCAATAGTCGCCTCTCGACTAATATCCAATTATTAATAACCACGGGGAAGGGTGGCCAGCCGTGGCACTCTGGGCCCTGGCCTGGTGGGGAGAGGAGGGAAGGGCTGGGTGGGAGCTGGCACCCCTGTTGTGAAATACCTGTGCAGGGCACGAGGTGGCGACCAAGGTGCCCACATTCTCTCCAGGGCTGGGCGATAGAAGCACAGACATGGTTTCACCCTGAGGTCAGAGGGCGGGAGGCAGAGCCCCATCTTCAAGCGCCTCCAGTCTGAGAGCGGAGACACGTCATGCCCTGAAGCCTGCTTGTTCAGGGCCTACCCAGGCCCGAGAAGAGGTGCAGCCTCCCAGGGAGGGGAGCTGTGGCAGGACCTCACTCTGCAGGACCTCTGGCTGCGGGCACACCGGAGGCTGCTAGAGGCAGGGTGCTGGGGAGCGGGTGGGTTCCATCAGGATAATGGGGTCAGCGGGGACTTGAGCCCTGCAGGTACATCTGGATAAATACCTGAGCCCTAGGGGAGGGGCATCAGAGAGAAAGCTGTAAGGGCAGGGGAGGGGCAGGGGTGCCCCAACCAGTGGAACCAGGGGCCGAGGGGTTGGAATCAAAGCAGCTGTCTATGCAGGTGATGGGGGGGGGGGGGGGGTAGAGGCCAGTAGAGGGGAGACTGGGTCTCAGAGGCCCCTAACCTTGAGATATCCAGCACCCAGACACACACCCTTCAACTACTGGCTCTCTCCTAACTGCACCCAGAGGCCCAGTGGGAAACACATCCTTAGATCAACACAGTCACAAAGCGAAGGCAGAGACACTAAAAAACAGAAGTGCAGAGAGGCAGAAAGAGATCACACAAAGTCAGACACATGCCCTGCTAGGCACAGACACACACACACACACACACACACACACACACACACACACACAATCAGAGACTCACAGATGCATGAATAAACAGGGACACACAAACACACACAAACACAGTAATGCTTATACACCCTGGTACTTATCCATGGAGGCATTTCCTCCCACACACACATGCCCACACATGTGGACACAAGTGCACGCTCGCAGCCCATCCTGCACACCCGCTTTGTGCACACAGTGGGCACATGCAGCAGCGAAGGCCTCTGAGGGCGTCTTGCAGGAGCCAGGATGAGGCTTCTGCTCCTCCGGAGCCCAGCTGGTGCCAACACTGCCACCGTGTGGCTGCAGGGGCACAAAAAAAAAGAGAAAGAAATGGAATTTCAGCAAGCACTCTCATACATTCCTGCTGGTTTTGCAAAATAGTACAATTTCTATTGAAAGAAATTTCACATTATCTGTTAAAATTAAAAATGCAATCACCCTCTAAGATAGCAGTGCCTCTTATGGGAGTTTATAAATGTGCACATGTCCAAGTTACCTGTGGTCAAGGTTATTCATGTAGCCTTGTTTACAATAAAAAGTGTGTGTGTGGGGGGGGGGGGGGGGGAGGACGAGAAAAGAAAACCAAGTGTCAATCCAAAGGGAAACTAGTTGACAGAATACTATGCAGTGATATTGAAATTTTATAGTTTTCTTTTTAGTGATATAAGAGTTGGCAGGATACTTTATTATACAAAAAAAGAGCAAGGTTTGCCCTGACCAGTGTGGCTCAGTTGATTGGGCATGATCCCATGCACCGAAAGATTGCTGCTTTGATTCCCAGTCAGGGCACATGCCCTGGTTTTGGCCTCAATCCCCAATGTGCAGGTGGGTGCAAGAGGTAGCCAACTGATGTTTTGCTGTCACACCGATGTTTTTCTCTCTCCCTTTCCCTTTCTGAAAAGAAAAAAAAAATCCACTTTTTAAAAAGAGCAAGGTGCAAAGCAATAGAGCACTTTCTATAAGAAAGGGGGAGGGTAAATTTCCTCCTGAGGAGAACCAAGATGGCAGCGTAGGTAGATGCCATACTCACCGCCTCTCACAACCACATCAAAATTACAACTAAGATACAGAACAACCATCATTCAAACCTGTCTGAAGTCTGGCTGAATGGAATTCCTACAACTAGAAAAGGAAAGAAGAAAGTATATCAAGACTGGTGGGAAGGGTAGAGGCACAGAAAGGGCTGGTCCAACACCCACGTGTGGTGTATTTTTAATCAGAAGGGAAAACTCCACTGCTGAGGCCTCCCATGAGAAGTAAATGGTTCCAGCCCTATACAAGACCCCCAGCCCAGGGTTCCAGAGCTGGGAAGAGAAGTCCCTGTAACTTCAGGTTGTAAAAACCAGCGGGGCTTCACAGAGGCTGCTGGAGACCCAGGCAGTCCCTCTTAAAGGGCTGGCACATGCACTTACTTGGACTTGATTCCTCTGGGCTCCAATGCTGGGACCACAGCTCAGGTGAGATTTAGGGACATATGGGAAGGAACTAGATTGTCTGATATTGGAGAAATGGTGGGGTCGTGCCCCAGCAGGTCCAGGGGTTCCCAAAGGTGTGGACGGAATCGGCAAAGAAGGAAGGACACGGAGGCAGCGTTCAGATCATCATCATAGCCAGGTTCTCTAGCCAGGTTCTCCAGCCAGGTTCTGTGTTTATTGTTTTGTTACATCTGTATTTATACCGGTTGATTTTAATCCTATCAATTCTATTCCAAAGGTTGGGGTGTTTCTTATCTTCATTCCAAGGTTACTCTATTGTTCTATTAAGCTACAAGGAAGTAACTGAAGGAGATTATCCTAAGTAAAGATTATGTGGCTTAAGCGTGATTGTTCGTAGTTAAAGTGATTAATTACCTGTCTGGCACTTAGTTAAGGGGTTTTATTCCCTCCCTAACTCCAGAGAAAAATCCTTACTTGAGGAAACAACCTTTTCCCGAGAGGTGACCTTGGTATATCGCTAAGAAGGGGAGCAAACATATTAAGAACAGTATGCCATGCCCTGACCAGTTTGGCTCAGTGGATAGAGCATTGGCCTGTGGACCAAAGGGTCCTGGTTCGATTCCGGTCAAGGGCATGTACCTTGGCTGCGGGCACATCCCCAGTAGGGCGTGTGCAGGAGGCAGCTGATCGATGTTTCTCGTTCATTGATGTTTCTAACTCTCTATCCCTCTCCTTTCCTCTCTGTAAAAAATCAATAAAAAATATATTTTAAAAACAAAAAAAAGAACAGTATGCCATATACGCCAGGTCCCTTGAAACATATGCTGTGCAGATGTTTCTTCCCTGCAGTGACTGTGTCAAGCAGCAAGGGCGGACCAGCTTCCAGCAAATTCCCATTTTTATTTTTTAAATGACAGTGCGTGTAAATCAGCGGCCACCTCTTGGATTGGGTTGTTTAAGACTCCGAAGAAGACTGACAAGCAATGATAGCAAGCATAGCAATAAACATAGTGGATGGAATGCACACAGAGCCTTGTAGAAGGTTGCTGGCCTCTTCAGTCAAGGATTTCAGCTGTCCTCAAGTTGGTGGTTTGGTTGTCCTTGTTGATCTGGCTAGCGGGCGGCGTCACTGGCGACGGGCTTCCCGAAGTGTCAGCACGTTGAAGGGCTGGATCATGGGTCCATCAGGGCCGTGCTTGATGGTGGTGTCGATGTATGGGGAGGAATCAGCTGTGCCCTCTGGGTCAGCTGATATGGATGATACCGGGGAGGAGGAGGAGGAGGCGGAGATGGAGGGTAGTAGAGAGAAAAAGAAGAGAAAGCAAAAGAACTACAAGGCATGGAAGTGTTTAGAAAACAGAGGGAGAAGAAAGGGAAGAAGGCAGCACTCTGACACAGCCCTTTCCTTCAGCTGCCCCTTTCCCTGTGGTCCAAGGTAGAAATGGGAAACAAGTCCTGTTGCAGTGAGAGGGCAGCTGCTGTCAGCCAGTCTCTGTCTTTACCTGGGTCCCGATCTGAGCTGGGTGTGGGAAGCGAAGCAGCCATGGGGGCAGGAGACCTCCCTCAGAAGGAGTGAGGGTTCAGGCCTCTGATTTACACACGCTATCATTTAAAAAATAAAAAGGGGAATTTGCTGGAAGCCGGTCCATACTTGCTGCTTGCCACAGTCGCTGCAGGGAAGAAACATCTGCACAGCTTATGTTTCAAGGGACCTGGCGTATATGGCATACTGTTCTTAATACATTTGCTCCCCTTAGTGCTATGTGTTTTAACCAAGGTCACCTCTCCGAGAAAGTTTGTTTCCCCAGGTGGGGATTTTTATCAGTAAAACCCCTTAACTAAGTGCCAGGCAGGTAGTTAATCACTTTAACTACTAACAATCACGCTTAAACTACTTACTCTTTACTCCCTGGAATGGAGATAACAAACGCCCTAACCATTGGAATAGAATGGATAGGATTAAGACCAACTGGTATAAATACTGATGTAGCAGGAGAAGTAGAGACAGAACCTGGCTGGAGATCCTGGCTAAATCCTGGCTAGAGAACCTGGTTAGGCTGCTGATCAACTGAACGCTGTGTCCATATCATTCCTTCTTCGCCGACTCTGTCCACACCTTTGGGAACCCCTGTACCTGCTGGGGTTGGACCCCAACATCGCGACGGTGGCAATGGCAGTGGCTGTCCCACTAGCAGACGGGCTAGAGGGGACTCCGGGCGGCATCCGGCGTGGGAGCTGGGGGATCACCATGGCAAAGAAGCGGAAAGGCTGCGTGGCGATCAACTCGGACATGGAGAACAGCGGCAGCGGCGAGAACCTGGATCAGGAACTCTTGCCCCTGGCAAAGCGGAAGCGCAGTGACTCTGAGGAGAAGGAGCCACCTGTGAGTCAGCCTGCAGCCTCCTCAGACTCTGAGACGTCGGACAGTGATGATGAGTGGACGTTCGGGAGCAATAAAAATAAGAAGAAAGGAAAGGCCAGAAAAATAGAGAAGAAAGGAACCATGAAGAAACAGGTCAATAAAACTGCTTCATCAGGCAGTTCGGACAAAGACAGTTCAGCTGAGAGCTCAGCCCCTGAGGAAGGTGAAGTGTCCGACTCTGACAGCAACAGCTCCTCCTCCAGTTCAGACTCTGACGCCTCTTCTGAAGATGAAGAGTTCCATGATGGCTATGGGGAAGACCTCATGGGGGATGAGGAGGACAGGGCTCGTCTGGAGCAGATGACAGAGAAGGAAAGAGAGCAAGAACTCTTCAACCGCATTGAGAAGAGGGAGATGTTGAAAAGAAGATTCGAAATTAAGAAAAAACTAAAAACAACCAAAAAGAAAGAAAAAAAGAAAAAGCAAGAAGAGCAAGAAAAGAAAAAGCTGACACAGACTCAAGAATCTCAGGTAACATCCCACAACAAGGAACGGCGTTCCAAACGGGATGAGAAACTAGATAAAAAATCTCAAGCCATGGAGGAGCTAAAAGCAGAGAGAGAGAACAGAACAGCTGAGCTCCTCGCCAAAAAACAGCCATTAAAAACCAGTGAGGCACACTCTGACGATGAGCAGGAGGAAGAAGATGACAAATCCAGTGAAAAGACAGGCCGCTCATCCCGAACACCATCCTCTGATGAAGAAGAAGAGAAAGAAGAGATCCCTCCGAAATCACAACCAGTGTCCTTACCCGAAGAACTGAATCGGGTTCGATTATCACGGCATAAGCTAGAACGTTGGTGTCATATGCCCTTCTTTGCTAGAACTGTCACAGGATGTTTTGTACGGATTGGCATTGGAAACCACAACAGCAAACCAGTTTACCGGGTTGCTGAGATCACGGGTGTTGTGGAAACCGCCAAGGTTTACCAGCTTGGTGGCACCAGAACAAACAAAGGGCTACAGCTACGGCATGGCGATGCCCGACGGGTATTCCGCCTAGAGTTTGTCTCAAACCAAGCATTCACTGAAAGCGAATTCATGAAGTGGAAAGAAGCGATGTTTTCTGCTGGCATGCAGTTGCCCACTCTAGATGAAATCAATAAGAAGGAATTATCTATTAAAGAAGCTCTTAATTATAAATTCAATGATCAAGACATTGAGGAGATTGTAAAAGAGAAAGAAAGGTTCAGGAAAGCTCCGCTTAACTATGCCAAGAAGAAGACTCAGCTGCTAAAGGAAAAGGCCATGGCGGAGGACCTGGGGGATCAGGACAAGGCCAAACAAATCCAAGACCAGCTGAATGAGCTGGAGGCGCGGGCAGAGGCCCTGCACCGCCAGTGGACCAAGAACATATCTGCTATTACTTACATCAACCAGCGGAACCGGAAATGGAATATTGTGAAGTCTGAGAAGGCCCTTGTGGCTGGAAGTCACAACATGAAAAACCAACAGATGGATCCCTTTACCAGACGGAAATGCACACCTATCATCGTTTCTAATTCCAGAAGCCCAGCTGTTCAAGCTGCCATCTTGGCCCAGCTGAATGCAAAGTATGGTTCTGGAGTGTTACCAGATGCCCCAAAGGAAATGAGCAAGGGTCAGGGAAAGGATAAAGATTTGAATTCTAAGTCAGCCAGTGACCTCTCAGAAGACTTGTTCAAAGTACATGATTTCGATGTGAAGATTGATTTACAAGTTCCCAGCTCAGCGTCAAAGGCTTTGGCCATCGCCTCCAAGGCTCCACCAGCCAAGGATGGGGCTCCAAGGAGATCTCTGAACTTGGAAGACTACAAAAGATGACGAGGGCTTATTTGAGCTCACCCAGCCTGCTGCTTCTGACCCAGCATGCCCATCAGTGTCCCGCCTTTCCTCTTCCTTTAATGTGCCCTCTCTGGGCTGGAGCAGCAGTAGAAACTGGGAAGAGACTCTAAATAGAGTGCACAAGTATCCATTTCATTATTATGCTTTGTTATATAGGGTGGGGTTTTTTGTAATATCAGTGCACAATTTAAACATAAATAAACATTAAGATCAGCCTAACGCACTTCTTGATTGCTAATCAATTTCTATTACCTACCAGAAAAGGATTGTGCATTTCAAAGGAGTAGTAAAATGTCAGTTCAACACAAACTCTGCTAACCAGAATATCACACCCCCGGAAGACATACATCACTGAGATTGTTTTTGCCGCCCATCTTTTGTGGAATAGGTACAATGAGAATGAGCAGGAAAGAAAATAACCAGGATGAGGGGATAGAAAAGGAAAAACCAACTGAGAAATTTCTTATATTGCTGAAAAGGGGGAGAGAAAGATCTGGGATGAAGAAAGGCCGAGCTTGATGGGAGGAGCAGATAGGAGAGAAAACACAGGATTATATATAACAGAGACATACGTAATTTACACTGCATGCAAATTAGGTCCTGTGAGGCTGAGTCAAGCACAGAGTGGGCTTAGGGGCCCACTCATGAGCTCTTTTAGACATTCAGCTTCAGACACAGCAGCCACAAAGTAACAGGCACAGCAACTGTCAGTAGCATTTTCTGCTATATACAGCCTAGAGCTTCTTCATCATTGCAACATTTCCAACCAGTCTTCATGGGGCAAAGCAATATGCTCAGTGCCATGCTAGATACAAGATTGAATAAAATACAGTCTTATTGTCCAGGGACCCTCAGATTAGAGTGGGGGATCAGAAGAGAGGCACTTAGACTTTCTAAGGCAGGAACTCACATTGGTGGCCTCAGCTGAATTGGGCAGCCATACATGTTTTATTGGGCCACTACTGTGTGTGTGTGTGTGTGTGTGTGTGTGTGTGTGCGCGTGCGTGCGCGCGCCTATGTGTGTGAACCTGAAAGTCTTTAAGCACCCTCCATTCTGACCTAGTTCCCACCATTCCCCAAAGTTTTACCATGACAACTCACACATTATCCAGCTGCTTGGTACTTGAAGGCATTTGAGTTTGCAGCCCTTTTGTATAAGTGGATAAATTTGATTGTTGGGTTTTTATCATTCTTCTGTCACCTTCTTACATAATAATGGCTAACATGATGATATTCCTGACTAGATCAAACAAGTTCTTTTTAAACTAACAGGTACCACCTCCAGTTTCTGTGCTTGCTCTTGGCTAACACTGTGTTTGCCTTTGTTCCCAGAACTATACACTAGACTGATAGTTTTAATGATTTTTCAAGAATAATCCCTAAATCCTTTTCTTGATCTGTGTGTTAGAGGATTATTTTCTGCCTAGACACATCACTGGACTGGCCTTCTTGCTCCCCAATTAATTATTAGTTTGTCTACATTAAATTATACTTGCCATCTGCTGATAAAATCACAAAACTCCTCAAGCCTTTTCCATTGCTTTCACTGTTTATTGCTGGGTCGTTTTGCCTCCTAGCAGTTGAATCAGCTGCAAACTGGGAGGTTTGGTTACTAATTCCTTCTTCCAAGCCTCTTCTCTATAGTAGAATTTCTTTGTGAAAAATTTCCAAAGGGTAAAAATTTTCTATGCATATATTTTATATACATATGGTTTTGAACACTTAACACAAAAATCAGTATAGGCAAGCTTCCTGGAAAGCATAAAGAAGTAAAGAAATGTACTAGGTGATTTTGAACAACTTCACAACGGGTCATAAAATAATGACTTCTAAAAGAGAGATGCATAAAACAAGGATGAATAGTAAATAGCAGAAATAAAAGGAGATCCCTCAAAATATAATGTAGAAAAATCAACATGAAACAAAACAGCATTGGTAGTAAGTTTAACTCACAGAGCTCAGATTTAGGTGTGCAAGAAATAAGGTGTTATTTGCCATTAAACAAGTTAATTCATATTTCAAGTCCTAATCTTAAAAGGTTGGCAAGCTTTCCACTTCAGCCATCCTGGAGTGATCCCCCAGGATGTGATAAGGTTCTAAGGTCTCACATCAGGTCAATGCCTGTGTATTGGTTTGCTCAGGCTGCCATAACAAAATGCCACAGACTGTGTGGCTTAAAGAACAGAATTTATTTTCTCACAGTTCTGGAGGCTAAAAGTTCAAGATCAAGATGGCAGCAGAGTTGGTTTTCCCTGAGGCCACTCTCCTTGGCTTGCCTTTCCCTTGTATCTTCACAGGTCTTTCCTCTGTGTCTGTGTCCTAATCTCCTCTTATAGGAAGGAATGCCAGTAAAACTAGATTAAGACCTATCATCTGATCTCATTTTAACTTACTTACCTCTTTAAAGACCTTCTCTCCAAATACAGACACTTTCTGAGATACTGGGGATTAGGTTCCAACATATGAATTGAGCAATGGGGAGCTCAACTCAGCCTATAACAGCCTAGAACAGTGGTTGGCAAACTCATTAGTCAACAGAGCCAAATATCAACAGTACAATGATTGAAATTTCTTTTGAGAGCCACATTTTTTAAACTTCAACTATATAGATAGGTACATTGTTATTAACCTACCTATGTAGTTTAAGTACTGTTGATATTTGGCGCCTCCCCTGTGCTGCGTATCCCCCGGCCCACCTGCGAGCGTCTCCGTCGCCCGCCCGACCAACACCCCCACTTCTTCTAACGCCACTTCTTCGAAATAGACTCGCCCAGGCTGAAAACGGACTTCTGCGCATGGGCCACGATGTTTCAATCACACTGTACGTGCACGCCTGCACATGGTATTTTGTGGAAGAGCCACACTCAAGGGGCCAAAGAGCCGCATGTGGCTCGAGAGCCGTGGTTTGCCGACCACTGGCCTAGGATGATGAGCTTGTGGCCATCAGCCAGTGTTCCACACAGAGATAAGAGCATTATCTCTGGCCATGAGGTCCCTGTCCATTCAGGCCAACTGCTTTCTGTTGCTTTTAAGCAATGCTGGGGTATCAGGATGGCTCCATAAAGCTATGATCCACCATAGTCCCATGTCCTGAGCACATCTCGCACCATTTGAGACCGCCAGCACCACCAGCAACTGCACCCCAGAGAAATGACAGAGTGACCTCTGCTATTCCAACACCCCAGTCCTCCCTTCTGTCATCCAAATGGGAAACTTTCCTTTTTGGTTTTGGAAAACCCTGCTAGGCTCTATTTCCTGTCTGCTGCTGCCTTTCCTAAGATGATGAAGTATCTGCTTAAATTGAGAGAATCAAAAATGTGCAAAAATTAATTAGGGTCTCACACTACTCTTTGGTTACATATGACAAATACATGTGTCCATGAGTGTTTATGCTTTTTCCTATCCCAGTTCCTAAAAGTTTTATTTCCTATTTTGTAATTATATTTTTTTTCAATCAAAAATGGTAATGTCTGCCCGGCTAGTGTGGCTCAGTGGTTGAGTGTCCATTATGAACCTGGAGGTCACAGTTCAACTCCTAGTCAGGACACATGCCTTGGTTGTGGGCTTGAACCACAGAAGGAGGGCAGGGGTGAGCCAATCCATGATTCTCTCTTATCATTGATGTTTCTCTCTCTTTCCTTCTCCCTTCCTCTCTCTGAAATCAATAAAAATATATTTTTTAAAAAATCAACTACCTCCAGAGAGCATTTTCCCAAAGAAGGGAGACTTATTTCCTTTCCTCCTTTTTTCTTCTCCCACCTCCACACTCAAAATGCTTTATGTCGGGAATAAAGAAAAGCAGCCCCTAAGGTCTGCTAACTGCTGGAGAATTACACGTTCACTTGGGAACAGGTGTAGTGACTGGCACCCGAGACTTCCAAGATTCATTTCTACTTGTTTCACCAGATTTCTCCATGTGGTAGGAAATATGTGCACAGTTGTTCTCAAATTTCACATCTTATCATTTGCACCAACAGAGAAATATCAATTGACCTCTTTTGCTTTAGGCCAAAAATCCTAGAGCAAGAGCTCATGGGCTCTGCTTCCTAGGTGCCCTCTCCTGGGACAATCAATTACAGTTGGGGCAGAGGGCAGAGCAACTCAGGTAAGAACATGGCAGGGTAGGCCCCAGGAAGGTTGGGTTTCTCAGAGAAAAGGGAGGCTGGGCAGAAAATCCCATAAAAGTCCAGAACCAACAAATATATCATTTATACCCATGGGTGGTTACCTAACTGATAAAAGCACCCATCATTTCACTATTATAAAAAAAATAATGAAATATACTCTTAGCTTACTTAAACGTGCCTAAAATTGCAAACCAGCTGACTTTTAAACTATTTATTTCAAACTCCAAAGATTCACATTTCTGGAGTGAAAGCTAGCATTTCCCAAAGGAGAGAAGAATATAAATGCTCTTTTTCTAGAGAATATAAATAAGAACCAGCGCTCACAACATGTACATCAGAAAATGTCTGGCCCTAGCTAGTTTGGCTCAGTGAATAGAGCATTGGCCTGTGGACTGAAGGGTCCCAGGTTCAATTCCGGTCAAGGGCACATGTCCAGGTTGCAGGCTTGACCCCCATAGCGGGCGTGCAGGAGGCAGCCAATCAATGATTCTCTCTCATCATTGATTTTTCTATCTCTCTCTCCCTCTCCCAAATCAATAAAAATATATTTTTAAAAAAGAAAAAGAAAATGTCTGATGAGAAATAAAGAGTCTATGAATGTGATTTGTGGCTTAAAACAAAGAGGAGCTAGAGAGGAGTGTCCAGGGTAAGAAGGTTTTGCTTGTTTATTTATTTGCTTACTAGAAGCAGAGACAGGAACTTACTCTGTACTAGACAGGCATTGGGCCAGGAGTTTACATGCATTACTACTTAATTTTTAATCACCCTCCTGAAAACAAAAAACAAAAATAAAAAAATCCCCATTTTGCCCAGGAGAAAACCAAAATGCAGTGAATTTAAGTGATTTTCCCA